CCCCCTTCCCCTCAACCCCCCCCCCCCCGCTCCACGGCCGGCAAACACCCTCCTCACCCTCTTGATTCAATTCCATGAGAGCTCCCGGAGGCGCCAACTCCCTCTTTTCCTCTTGCACCCTCCCTTGGCCACCCTAGGCGACCGCAGACACAAAAACAATAACAAATCGATTCGCGAGAGGGCAACGGGAAGGGGTCAACCACGGGTGGCTGGGACACGGGCTCTACAGCACCAACCAAAAGGGGGAGGCAAGAGATAAAGATAGAAAAGGGATATGTAGAGCCTGGACGAGTTATGCCAAAGTATGAACGTACGCGAGATACGAACAAACCAGAGTACAAATCCACGGGACACTCGTGACCTCCTATTTATTACATTATTCGGCGTGTTTTTCATTGTTGTTGTATTTGTCGTTCTATTCGACCTCATTGGTATGCATAACGGTGTTTTCATAGACATGACAGACATTACGGGGACTCGATTGAATGATGGTATTGATAACGCAACGAGAGTCATTGAAAATGATCAGCTACCGTGATCACGCATACAGGGTAATCCCATCGACTTCTCACCCCCTCTATTACACACATCAGAGTTTCACGCCATCTTCAAGATCTAAATCAATGAATCATCATTGCCATTGTCAATATCGAGTATTTCTATGAGATGGGAAGGACGATACAACTCTTCCGGTCGGCATTTCCTTGACAGTAATATTGACTAATTGTGTTTGTCAATCAGATGGAATATGGTATCTGGAGTCTTCATGCGGCAAGTGGATTATGGGGCGATCCGCGGCTGATTCGCCGAGCGGCGGCACTTGTACCGCCAGGTGCCCCGCCGATACTTCCGCGTGCAGGATTTGCATTGAGTTCGCTGCATCATCCCCTTGATCCTGGTGCCTACAAGGCTATCGAATTAACCGCCAATTCTTCGCACAGTGTCAACAGCGATGAAGCGAGAAGTGAAGCAAGCACTCCACTTGATACCGTCAAGAAATCGGAAGACAACGAAAGTAACATCGAAAGAAATGAAGAGGACGAGGAAAATAATTACAAGGTACGCAATCTTTGTTGATTAATCGAGCCAACAGCGACTGATTTAAATATTCTCTCCAGAGCTCCCTACCGACAGAGTCTAACGATAATAACAACGAAGATGCTGGTGAGGAAAGCGACACTAGTACAAATAGCTCACAGCACTCCCGGAATAATAATTCACCGGGGAAAGCACTGGATCCCTTGGCATATTTTGGCATGGATAAAGACGAACCAATAACGCCGGTTCTCAATGGCTGGGTATTGAGTGCCTATACAGCTATGCTGGGGAGACTATCCGCAGCTACTGCTGCCTTGGAAGCAACAGAGGTACCAGGAATGCCGTCCGACAGTGACTCTGATAGCGACAGTTCGTCCTACACCGAAAGGTATGAAAATACAAGGATACCAAGAATATAATAATTATCATATTTATCAGCACTCAGGCATAAATGTCCTTTTCAAAGAAGGCAATTTAAAAAACAGTAACGAACGTTACTGAAGTGAGAAAATAAGGAAGGAGTATTATATATTATAATTATGCAACCGAATGGATTTCAGATCGAGAGGAGAGAGTCCTGTGACTGGCGCCTACAGAGGCTATCCCTGTGGCTCCTGCGATGTGATAAGCTCAACAAGACCCGCCCTGAGGAAACACATTCTCAACAGTCATCCAGCTTCTCCCGAAACGAATGATGGTGATCCCCGCGGCTGTCCTTCAGCAGGATGCACTTTTACGAGTAACAGCAGATGCGAAATGGAGACGCATGTCGCTAGTCACATGGCTCAGGGGACTACATCAGGAAAAAAGAGGTCATTGGCACTGCAACGCGTCAGGTATAGGTACTCGAAGAATCATATTCACCGCATGTCAGTAATTAGATTGTGTTTTATGTGATTAAATTGATGATTGATTCCCTCGATTGGAATTAGATATGAACGGGAAGAATACAGATGCACCATGTGCACATATGCCTGTACAATTGAGAAGGCATTCCAAAGACATCTCAGGGCCCATGCGAAAGGCGCTGCCCCGGAAACGAGAGTGAGTTGTGCTGTCTGTGGAGCCGACAGGTCTTCCGAAGTAGATTTGAGCCGACACATGAGGAGGCATCGAGATGATAGATATTTTTGCTGCGACATTTGTGTATTCCGTACCGTACAACTAAAAAAAGTACGATGGCAAAGTTTTTTCGTTGGTGATTATTAACAGCTAGTTGATAATGTTTATCTGAATTTCCAGTTAATCCAGCATCGTCGAATGCACACTGGCGAAAAACCCCACCTATGCCCTCACTGCGCATACAGAAGTGCACGCCGTGATAATTTACGCAGTCACGTACGTAGAGTGCATAAGAAAGAAAATCTGTACTGCGACACCTTCAGTCCACGTGGTATGCTGATTGCACCGATTCCATCAGCCTCCTCAATAACAGATCAATCGACAACCACGAATGTTCAGAGCTCTAACTCACCGAGTCCTTCCAGTCAAGATAGGGTGAATTAGCGTTATTAATTGCTCGATAAATTATAGTGTTATTATGTGGAAACGAACAGCTCGAATTTCAACGTCCTCAATTTGTCAATATAACTAGGTCAACTACCGTCAACATTATCTAATGTTTATTTCCAATCTTCAGATAAAAATCTCTTCTATAATTTTTGTTGAGATTTACCCTGGTCATTTCGTCACTACTGCGCTAGGTAACGAGTGTCGATTGAAGAATAGAGGACACGAAAATGAATTTTCAAGAATTAACAATGAAAAGGTGAATATTAAGAGGATTTCAAATATGGTGCTGAGAATTAATTAGACTGATTCTCTTTTAATTTACGAAAGACTGAGAGAGCCATTAATTTTCATGGAGTGGAAGCTAGCCGAAAATTCGTTTGCCGAAAATAGGAAAGCAGTGGTTCTCACGCTCGACCGAGTTTCCACCCTTGGAAGATGATTTAGCAGATTATTAAAGGCCGACAAAACTTGACAAAACTAATATCTATTAGCGTATTGAGTGCAAGACAATTAACAATTAACCATTTGTTTATTGTAGTTAATAATAATATGTGGATTTTGGGATTTTGGGGTTCTAGAGGTGACAAAACTCTGAAATTGCGAGGGTACCTTCAGAGGACCCCCACAGACTTTTGTCACCCCACAAATGTCAAAAAAAATATCAATTGANTTAATTTTCATAAGTATTTGGATTGTTATTCTGTTACCTATTTTCGCGTCTTCCTTGTGGGAATATATTCGTCTATTGTAGATGATAGTTTGTAGATATACTTTATAAACGAATTAATACTGAAGATTGTCTTGAATTTTGAGAGGCAACAGGTTGTACTTTGTGATTGGCAATTAAGACTGATTAAGAATGAAGATGGAATATTTCAATTAGATTCCGGGTGATTGCGGCAGTGTTGAAATGAAAAGGCACGGTTATTTCGTCAAATTCTTGAGGGTCTCTAACTTTGCAACATCAGTCATTACTCCTAGATCGATAATTGCTGTTGATGCATAATTTAATATTGCGCATTGAAAGAGTTGCTGTCGCGACTCGGCGAGGCGTTTCCTCGATATTTCTGTATTAAGATAGTTCCGTATCTCAACATTGGTCAATGCACATTTCGCACAGAAATAATTTTCTCATTTACTTTGACAAAGGAGTAAATTAAATATAGGTTAATGTGTGTCAATTTTCAACGTATGGTAAACTCTAATCCAAATCTATGAACTTGCTATTAATATGATATACTTTTCATGGAAAAGGTAGTATAACCAAAACAAAAGGCACTCGGAAAAACATATTCTTGCTGAACGCCTATTGATCTGAAGTATACCGTATAGTATACACAATACCTTATGCTTTTTGATAAACAATTATATTTAAACTAATGTTTTATATTTATACGTGATGTTTTATTGTGATGGAAGAAGTGAAAAGTTAAATAGTTACGAATCGATTTAAGTAAACAAATGACAATTTTATACAATGATTTTACACTACAAAACGCTTCTGAACAGAATATTAGGTGCACTATTGAAAAAAAAAAAGAATGACAAATTACTCGCTATTTTCCGGTTTATGCAAACAACAAGATGAACAAAAATAATTGGAATAAACTAATTGGAGGGGCACGAGTCGCAAGTTATTTTCTTTGGCTTTCAATTTTAATGACTTGGCTCAATGTTCGGAATATTGTTTTCTTCCTATTTGTGTCAATAACTTCTAGGTAAAACATAATTGGGGGTCATTTAAGACCAAGTTTTTACGAGGAGAAAAATAAATTCTGTGAACGTCCGAGCACCAGTAATTGTTAAAGAAAAAAGTCTTCTAACTGTTGAATATTTGCCGTAGTTCATAAGTGTCCTAACGTATACTTTAACTATACACGATATGATATATAAATATATATTCTATATTCATTGTTTCTTAGATATAAAAATGATAATAAGAAATGTCTTGAGTGTCGACGCGATTGAACGAAAACAGATTATTTAGCGAATGCCAAATGGTGCCAATTTCTCCGAGTAGTATTTGAATTATCGCGAGACACTCGATATTGATAATGACAACGATTCCTCTCGATAATCCACTCCTCTTGTTCAATTTGGTAGATTAAATGATGGAAAATTAAAACGAGGCCAATTTTCGTTGAGGAATCTCATAGCGAAGTTTTAAGGATTAATACAATCTCAATGTGATAATATATTTGCTATTAAAGAAGCATTATACGATTACAATTAATTCATGAATGAAAGAGTTACCTACGAGAGCCGCCTACGTATTTTGAAAAATTACTATAACTGTCATCGTCCATTTACTTTGAGTTGATCAATGAATTCAACGCGGATTCGTTGGAATTACTTAAGACAAGTACAAATAAGCCATGAATTGAAAACAACAAAATCGAGGGTCATTTCATTCCAAACACGGAATAATAAAACAGTAAATATATAATGATATTAGATATTTCAATGTTATACAACCGTACGTGTCAAATTGAAGAATTGAGTTCTTGTCTTCCTTCACAATGATTAAAGTTCTACACTTATCCAGTGAAAGAATAAACATGAAAACTCTTTGTTCACTGTCTACTGTTATGCACAATTCTACTTGTCCTCGGCTAATAACGTAAGTGAAAGATTAAAAAATGACAGGAGTAAAAGAGATGCAAAAGAATAAAAGCAACAATGATGGATTCTGGAGGTCGTTCTTATTCCATGCGTCTGTTGTTTGTAGTAGATATGCCACTTACCATTCACTGCAAATTTTCGATCCCTAGCCAGGCATATGATGTCAGACACTTCTACGACTAATTCCCTCCATGCGGAATGCGTTCTCTGGACCTGAGGAAGAAATATCAAAAGACTAGATGAGGATCTTTGAAGTCTTAAGAGGTCATTCAGACAATGAAAATTGCCTTAAAAATGTTTTCCAAAGGAACTGAGGAACAACTATCGAGAAACTAGTTTTTTCGCGGGATATCTTATCTAGCGTATGTTATGTATTATATAAATTACATTTTGACAGCTATACCATGCCGCAAATAATCACGACTAAAAGCGTTACGTGCTTTCTTAGAATTGGTGACACAAAGGAATAGAAATTTCAACCGAATACGCGCTCCGAAAATGGATCGAGATTGAACGAAACTGAGAGAGGGAATACTTGACGGGAAATTATCCCGCTTCATGGCCCTCTTGCGGATTATTCTCAAAGTAGTCTTGAAGTCCTTTGAAAATGCGGCCCAAGGTGGATCCACTCATAATTATTGAAGTCTACCATTTTGTCGTTTTCCCAAGATTATTCGTTTGACAGAAAAGCACCAATAATGTTCTAACCCCAATAGCTCGCCCCGCTCGTACATAACAATTACTGCGTGCCCGTGTGTCAAATCATTCGAAAAATACTTCATTCAACAGTCGGTGATCACAATTAACCCCCTCAGCAAGCTGGCTTTTGCAGAGGCGCCTAGACCCCCACATCAATTTCCTTCATGTGTTTCTGAGTTTAATAATCAAGTGTGATCATAGTTTTTTATAAAACAACATTAAAACATGGCCGGTGGTACGATACTGCAGGTATTTATCTGTTCTATTTAAAGTGTCAGGAGAATTCTCAGTTGTGTCTCCTATCACTGATGTTCGTGTTCTGTTTTGTTCTGTTCTGTAATGCAGAAAGCCATTGATTTGGTCACCAAAGCCACAGAAGAGGACAAGAAGAAAAATTATGAAGAGGCATTGAAGTACTACGAGCACGCAGTCGAGTACTTCCTTCATTCCATCAAGTGTTAGTCATCATTAATTGCTTTTACATTTATTCAAAAGACTTGAAGATATTCAAGTGGGCCAGTCTTTTTCATATGACAAATGTCAAATTTTATTTCAACGGAGATTTATAGGGGTGGACCGGGTAGAATGGATACGTTTGCCTTTTTTTTTAATGTGATAAATTTATTCCCGAAATATTCATGACTCGAGAATAAATTTATCAATTGATTATTACTATCCCGATGAATGACAGTTGAAATTCATTCAAACATTGAATTCCAGTTTTCCCTTCATTTTTCGAAACTTCAAAATACAATTTAATTTAAAAAATGTTTATAGAATTCAATGTTTGAAATCCCAACGACTAATAAAAATCCCATCTTTAGACGAAGCCCAGGGGGAGCGTGCGAAAGACAGTATACGACAGAAATGTCAGCAATACCTCGACAGGGCAGAAAAGTTGAAAGCCTACCTGAAGAAAGGAAAGAAGAAGCCCGTGGCAACGGGTGAAGAAGGCGCCAAAGACGACAAGAAGAGCGACAGCGGTGACAGTGACTCCGAGATCGATCCAGAGAAGAAGAAGCTCCAGCACATGTTGGAGGGAGCAATAGTAGTGGAGAAGCCCAATGTCAAGTGGAGTGATGTTGCAGGTTTGGAGTCAGCGAAAGACGCCCTGAAGGAGGCTGTCATCCTCCCCATTCAGTTTCCCCATTTATTCAAAGGCAAGAGGATGCCATGGAGGGGAATTTTGCTCTTCGGTCTTCCTGGGACTGGCAAATCATACCTTGCTAAGGCTGTTGCCACAGAAGCTGGTAATTCCACTTTCTTATCGGTCTCTTCCTCGGATTTAGTCAGCAAATGGCAGGGAGAATCTGCTAAACTCATCAAGAATCTGTTTGATCTTGCGAGACAGAGGAAACCCAGCATCATCTTCATCGATGAGATTGACTCCTTGTGCTCATCCAGAAGTGACAACGAGTCAGACTCTGAAAGACGGATCAAGACCCAGTTTCTAGTGCAGATGCAAGGGGTTGGGAGTGATAATGATGGAATTCTGGTCCTGGGGGCCACCAACACCCCCTGGGTTCTCGATGCTGCCATCAGAAGACGATTCGAGAAACGTATTCACATTCCTCTGCCCGATGAGATTGCACGAGCTGCCATGTTTAAACTTCATCTGAGGCAGAATGCCCACACCTTGACGGAGGAGGACTTCAAGCAGTTGGCTGCTGATTCTGATGGATACTCTGGGGACGACATTCGAGTTATCGTTCGTGAGGCTCTAATGGAGCCCATCAGGCTTGTGCAGAGTGCCACTCATTTCAAAAGAGTCAGTGGACCATCGCCTAAAGATCCTTCGGTTATTGTGGATAATCTGTTGACACCATGCTCCCCTGGGGATCCAGGGGCCATTGAGATGAGCTGGACTGATGTCAAGAGCGATGAACTTTTTGAAGCGCCAGTTACGATGGTAATTATCAGAGAGAATTTGATTGATCTGTTTCGACATTTTTTTTCGTGAAATTGAAATGAAAGTTTTTATCACTCAGTTAATTTATTTTATTGAAATGATGTTGAAGATGAATTTTGTTTATTTTATGTTGTAGAAACACTTGTTGAAAGCTCTCGCAACAACCCGTCCAACTGTCAACCAGGAAGACATAACGCAATTAGAAAAATTCAGGGAGGATTTTGGCCAGGAAGGTTGAAAGCCTCGGCGATATATTTTTTATATGCCACCCAGTTATCTCGCCTTACCAAGATTTTTATTTTTTATCTCAAATGAAAACTTGAAGAAAACCCTTGAATCAATAAATGCCTCAATTGTTTTTGCCCTTTTTTCGCCCTCCTGTTCACCTAATGATTTAATCAAGTTGAATGAAAATTTTAGGCAGTCCTAACACAGAAGATGAAACTAACAGGTCATAATACTACTTGTAAATGTGATAATCTTGAATCTAGAAAAGCTGATTTCAATTTCGTGCATATTTATTTTGCCCCGAGAGCAAAACAAGTTCCACGAGTGGAAAAACAAATCTATTATACATGTATAACAATTCTACTTTATAATTAATTAAACGAAAAATAAAATTGCATTATATATGTATATTTATCTGTGACACACTAGAATAAATTCACCACTATTCTCCAATGTAAATTTTTATGATATCCCGAATAAAAGTGGCATGTCAATACATCACATGTTCAATGAAGCTTACAGTAATAAATATGTACAGAAATCAAACATGTTTGAAAGACTTTTGTTAATCAACCGATCAGACATTCTCATTTCTGGTAATTTGCGATGAGTGAGCTGAAAAATATTGGAGTCAAGTGATGAAACAAAAGAAGTCAATTTCACATGAACTAAGGTTTTTGGTAAATATTTTTCAAATTCAGTTTCGTTAAAATATCTGGAAATCTAAAATATATGAAAAAAAAGTTATTGAACTCGTGTCATTTCATCACTTTGCAATTGAAATATCCCCCCATTTTTTCTACAACGAACAATTCCTCAAAAATTCTGTATCAGTATATCCAACAGTAATGGAAATATCGTCCCTAAAAATACGAACGACTTCACTGGGTAAAGTTAAAAATTGGGAGACCTTGGCGTGATCCATCCCATACTCTGTGCCCCCGAGGGCATTTCTGAGAAGGTGCGTGGCAGCATTTTCATCCAGAGGTTTTTTCTTGAGCCCCTCTTTCCTCTTCAACAGCATCTCGTTGATCTCAGACAGTTTCATATCGGATGTTAGTTGCAATGAATTAAGAGTAACTTTTCCACTCATGTGTTCACCCACAAGTTGAACTGCCTCGAGAGGTGAGAGTAGATCCCACAGACCATCAGTCGCTATTATCAGGAATTTGTCCTTTGGTGTCAGTCTGTGATACGTCACCTGGGGCTTTGCTGTTAGGTAAGGGGGTGTGTGGTAATTCGGGGGGACTGCTCCCTCCCCGTAATATGGCACTACTATTTTCTTCATTAGTTCCTTGCTCCACTTGTATCGAAAATCACCGAGGGCGCGGAGGGGGGCTAATTGACCTAGGAGACGCTCCATTTTTATCACTGTTCGACTCTCGCTCTCTGGGTGCTCGGAGAGGATTCTCTCGACTTCTTCGCGGTTATCTGTGTTGTGTTCTACGGTCAGCAGTTTCGCAGACCAGCCTTCCTCCTCTGCAAATCCGTACAACATGCCGTTTTATTTTATGGATTACAAGATCAAATTCAGCACTGAATGAAAAAATAAAGAATAAATCACTTCAAAATAACCGTTATACCTGAATAGACTCCCAGAACTGCTTGACAATCTCCGACCCCAGCCACATGAAGGTGAGGGCCATCAATATGAGCAACAACTGCCACAGCTCCTGACATAGCAACCGAGAGAGTCCTCGCATCGATTTGCCTCTTGACTTTCCTCAGAGCCTCATTAGAAATATCGCTATCTAAACTGAGAAAAGCCGTCTCTAATGCACTCTCCATCTGAAACTCCGCTCCTCCCGAGTCGCCATACTTCTGGGATACCTCCCTGAGGAAGGAGAGGAAACTCTCCCCGTAGAGTTTACTAATCTCAGGTACGAAGTCGGTTTTGTCGTAAAAGCACTCCAGCAAGTGCTCTCGTAGCTGCTCGGGGGTTTTGGACTGTTTGAGAGTCTCATTGAGGACCTCTCGGGGTAGTAAACAAACGGCAATATAGTGAAGTAATCTTTTCGATACGACTTGGGCGCAGGAGTTGCCCCCGTGTCCGTCAAAAATTCCGAATAGTAATCCTGCAACAATTACGGTGAAGATTTTTTACATTGAGGGATTTCCCAATTAGAAACCTTCAATAATACTAGAGCATTGCTTCGTTCAGCAGTTGAATGGCAATACTTTTGGCTAAATATCCCTGGAGCCTAGGGAGATAGCAAGAAGCTCGTAAGAACCTTTTAAACCTAATCCTCACCATTCGTCAGACGACATCGACCCTCTGCCCTCGCATCCTCCAGAGGATTATTCGATGCCAATTGATTAGAATCATAATACTTAATCGAATTAGATCCCACCAACTCCTGCGTAAATTCATTCGTCCTCAGGATTCTCGTCACCTTGAAAAAACCAAAATAATTCAAGTTTCAACAGCCCAAAACCCCAACCGTCAATAATCAATCGTCATACCCAATCAATCAAAATCGAATGGTCACACGTCTCAAACTTTCCATCGATCGATTAATTGTCCCAGAACGATTGTCAATCTATTTCTGACCCATTGTTTACCTCCTCAGGTGTGAGTTTTGGCAGTGACGCGTACCACCTAGTACAACTATTGATTCCATAGTTAAATCTTTTTATAATGCATCCATTATTAAGCAGAATCCATCCTCCTCTCATCACCATATCGTCTGGACTCTGTCACTGAATAAAATCCCAGCAATTGACACAGTTTATTGTCCTCAGCCACCACTGTTCCACCACATGTTTCACGTGCACAAACTGGAGGTTAGGAAAATGATAATCTCCCACTCTCCCAAGATCCCCCCAACAATCAAGAAAAATTAATAAATTAATTAATTAATCAGCAAATCCCGAACATTTACTTAAATTCAATAATTAAATACAGCAATAATCACCCCTACGCACTTATCTTCTCAAAAAAAATTGTTCCAACTGCAAAAAATCATGACTAAAATTATTTCATAACGCATGTCTCTAAAAATAGAAAATAACTCTCCGCTTGAAAGACTCAAGGGCGAAAAACAACAAATGTCAAGATTAGGGTCTAGGAGTCTCCACTGGTTCAAAAACATCTTTGGAGGCCCTAGCACGCCACTTCTCGACCCGCTCTTTCATTTGAGCCCAAAAAAACAGTCATATCTTGT